CTAACTGTTTTATAATTATTTCTTTGTGAATCTTGGTGTCTTCACCAGAGATGATTCTCAGAAGTGTCCCCAGTGGCTAGTACAGCTCCTGGCATTTAGTAGGTGCTCAGTAATTAGTTTACTGAGATACTAATGCTTCCATAATAGTTCTGAGATAATTCTACACATGAGCCATTTTTCTAAGGAAAGCCCACATTAGAGAGGTCTTTGTTTAGTATTCAAGATGATTAAAATTATTATGAGCTGAAGAGTTCCTGGGGTGTCCTGGCTGGCCTTTGGAAATCTTCACTACATCTTTCTAGGTTGGAATTCTCAGCACAGCCTGAATGTGGGGCTATGTCTGAGCTATTTATCTGAGTGCCTTCCATTTGACATCAAAGACTTAGAGTTTACCAGGGCTTTTCAAGCCACTGGGAGAAACGGCTAAATTAAGAGTAACCTACTGATTCGAGATGTGGACTTGTGCCCCTTTGTCCTTCCTGTTTCTCACAGGAGTTTTATCTTAAAACTCCTAAGCCATTGTTAAGGAGATCTCTGGAACAAACCCCAAACCTACCCTCTAATAGTCAAGTTTACCTGAATTTTCTCAGGAGAAGACTAATCACACATTGTAATACCAACTTGGACTCTTCATGTGCTTTTCTTGTTCTTTTTTTTTTTTTTTTTTTTTTAGATGGAGTCTCACTCTGTTGCCAGGCTGGAGTGCAGTGGCATGATCTTGGCTCACTGCAACCTCCGACTCCTTGGTTCAAGCGATTCTCCTGCCTCAGCCTCCTGGGTAGCTAGGATTACAGGCATGTACCACCATGCTCAGCTAATTTTTCTGTTTTTAGTAGAGATGGGGTTTCACCATGTTGGCCAGCATGGTCTTGATCTCCTGACCTCATGATCTGCCCGCCTCAGCCTCCCAAAGTGCTGGGATTACAGGCGTGAGCCACCTCGCCGGGCTCTGCTTTTCTTAACTGATTAGAGTAATGCCTCAGCTAAGTAAAAGTGTATAGAACATGCATGGGGCTTCCTCAGGCTTCAGCATCAGTTTCACTAGATGTGCTATGTAGGAGACCATAGGAAAATTACTGTAGGAGTAAAAGTTATCAGTTCTGATACAAACAATCCTCTCGTTCCCACGAAGTATCACTAAGGGAGTTTTTTGGTCCCATATTGTAAATAAATTGGCCTGAAAATATCTTTTCATTGTGAGGAATAAGTATATGGTGCCTTTCTCCTTTTAAGTGTAAACTGCTAAAAGGCAGAAATAACGTGTATTCTGTATTCCAGTACCCACAGTGTGTTTCTGGTCTTTGTACCAGGTGCTCAGGAAGTGTTTTCACTGACTTGGGTTGACCACTTGCTGTCTGCTCTCTGAGCATTCATTTCTGAATGAAAGGGGAGAAAGTGAAAGGAGGGTGGGAAGAAAGAGGAAGCTGGAGAAATAAGAGGAAACAGCTGGAAGCTGAGGAGGTGGGACTTATGTAAGTTCAGTAAAACTAAAAGCTAGCAGAGGGCAGGGTCAGGCCCTGGGGGTAGAGGGTAATTAACTTCTGTCAGCTAGTTGAATAGAGCCTTGTGTGCTTTGTTAGAGACCAAAGGTACTTCAAAGGAAAAAATCTAGATTCTTCCCTGTGTACCTTAATTGCTCATCAGGTCAAAATGTATCCTGTCCTCTAGGAATTCTGGTCCTCCCTCAGGCCTAGCAGAGAGCTTTCTGCCACTACTCAGGCAACCAAGGGTGAAGTGCTTCAGGTAGTATTTGTGGGCAGCAGCAGGTAAGCTTGATGTGTTATTCACAGCGTAAAGAATAAATGCTGAGTACAGCTGTTGTCCATGTGTAGAGCTTTAACAACCAGCTCACCAGTTCCCTTTACCTGCTTTTATTCCTGGACCAGATGACTGAATGTAGGATAGAGTATGCACTTGATAACATGTTTTTGCCCTCCCTTGTTCTTCACAAGAACCTTTGGCCAGGCATTAACAATTAGTAAATTTTATTCCATATAACTTTTTTTTTTTCTGGTGATGTAGATGGATACACATGACACTAAACAATGCTGTTTAGTGTAGTTACATCCCTCTTAACTAGGGGAATGCATTTGGGGTGGAGGCTATAGCCAATGAGAAGAGGTTCACCTCTGTACCCTAGAAACTGAGTAGGGATTTAGTTTATTTTTTGACGATTAGCACAATGCTGTAACTGAGCTAATCTTTGTGGTTTGGTGCAGGCCCATCAAGTTTGTGTGACCTATTAAATATCTTATTTTTCCATGCTCAGCTATTACCCTGTCCTGGGGCATCTGAGGGCAGAAAGGAACAGGTGTCCAAAGGAGGAATGTTGGTGCCTCTGTTTTCCAGTTGTATTGAATTACTTACTTGGTGTATTTTTGACTTGTCTTCGTTTCTTTCCTTCTTGTGGTCTATGCTATTTTACTTTCTATTAGTCGGATATTTTTCCCTGTCATTAAAGAGTTGTAAAATGGAGGTTAGTATTTCTATGCAAATGTTTTTTGGATGAAGCTGATTGGTTTAGCGTTGATTTTTGCCAGTGTCCTTCAAGAAGCGTGAAGGTGATAAATGTATTTCTGTGTCTTTAGACTCATTTTTGAAGTCTTGGATTGTGTGAATACTTAGAAACAGTAGAATGTTTTAATTAAAAACCCTCAAATGCCAGTTGAACTGTCTACTAGGAAAATGGGTAGATCTGTTATACTGCCATTTTGCTCTCTATGACTTTGTTACAGTTGTCAAGGAACTGAAATGGGTACTCAGGGAAAAAGAATTTTTGTTTCCCCTTTCTCACCTTGCTAGTTAAAATAACTCCTGGTGACACTTCAGGTGGTAGAATTGAAACACAAGCCTGACTTCTGACCACATGGGTCAAAGGCAAATGACTTCAAAGCCCTTAGTGTGGTTATCCAGTTTGGGCAGTGAGGAGATAACTTCCGCTTTCCTCCCTGAGGAGTTTATAGTACTTAGGGGGGATGGGAGGTGTCACTTTGGGGAAAATATGTTGCTTTTTCGCCTGATTGAATTGAAGCTGATATGGAAGGGCTACATTTTTTCTGGCCAATTCTTTTTGGTATTTCTAAATATTGCAATCTTGATTTTTGCTATTAAATTTGTTAATTGTCAGTTCTGGCTTTTTTGCATATAGAGCTGATCCATTAACTTGCCAGTTTGAAGCTTCTAACTAGCTATTCCCTACTGAAAGTTTTTGGGTTTTAGTTTATGAACCAGTCTTACCTGGTAAGGCAATTACAGGTAATTGATAATGGCGGAGATACCTTCTTTTCCTAGGATTCTAAGTCTGTAATCCAAATCATCAGTGTGTTCATAGAACTTTAAAATTCTCTCCAAACTAGGAAGGAAATATCCTGTTGCTTTCTCATGTTTACTAAAAGTTGTGTTTAGAACAACAGATAGGCATCTTCCTTTGTTATGTGTCATTAATCCCTTTGCCTGGTTACCTTAGGACTCTTTGAAGGAGAGATGGATGGGAGAAAACCTGTCACTTGGAGACAGTAAAAGGAATAATTAACTGGCTCAGAGCTTATATGCAGAGTTCCCAGCCCCAAAGTTAATCTAGAACCACTGGATAGCACCAGTAAAAATATTTACTTCACATCTGTTATATTTATGGAATACGTTCAAAGCATCTTGCATATATTTCTCATTAAATCCACAGGTGGCCATTTGTGAGGTAGATATTTTGTTCTCATTTTCCAGATGAAGCTGAGACCCTAAAAGGTTAGGTGACAGGTTATATAACTTGGAGTGTGGGAGGTGGAGAGAGGAACTTAAACAGGGCAAGTTGGGGATCTGACTTGTTTCGGGGGAATGTAGGCACATTGTATTTTTGGCTTAGACACTTTATTCATCATGGCTGAAGGTAATATTTACTCACGAAAAATTGTTTACAATAATCAAGATGAATTTACTGTCTTTGAACATCTGCTGTCTTTTGACTGAACCACAGTATATGGTCTGTGGAAGCTCACTTAAGAAGAGGGTTCCTTTTTTGTTTGGTTAGAGAAATTGTCTGTCCTGAAGGTGGAAATAGCCCCTTCTAGGTAGGGATGGAGCATTTGATCAACTGGTTTCATTATATTCCTCTAACAGTTGGAACTGATTGTTTTTGAGTACTTGTTTCAAACTTTTGAGTATTTTCCTTCTGGAAAACAGCTCAGTGTTTAAAATTTATCTGAACTTAAAAGGTTAATTCTTTTTCAGTGTGTTTGAGGAGCAATCAGTTCTGGTTTTGTCTTAAGGAAAGAAATAGACCATCCTGGCCAACATGGTGAAACCCCGTATCTACTAAAAATACAAAAAAAAAATTAGCTGGGCATGGTGGCGCGTGCCTGTAATCCCAGCTACTCAGGAGGCTGAGGCAGGAGAATTGCCTGAACCCAGGAGGCGGAGGTTGGGGTGAGCTGAGATCGCGCCATCGCACTCCAGCCTGGGTAACAAGAGCGAAACTCCACCTCAAAAAGAAAAAAAAAAAAAAAATAGAATTAGCCATTTTCCTCAAGAAAAGTGATTCTTCTGAATTTCAGCTCTTCAGTAATAAGAACTAGACTGTTTTCACTTGACCTGTATTTCCTGTCAGTGGGAAACCCTTCCCCAGAGGTGCTGTGTGAAAGATTGCAGGGAAAGGGTTTCTAGATCCCAGCATCACAAGTTCAAGAGAGTCAGTGATATTGTCATTAGAATAATGTCTTGGTACCAGTTTTCATAATTCTGGAGCTTCATTTTTACCAGTTTGAAAGGCAGCAGCTAGGGAGGAGAGACTATGCAGGGAAGGGGGAAAACTGAGGAGTGCATCACAGAGACCTTGAGTGTTTTAAGGCAGGGAAGATTTGCTATCCAATGAATGAAAATAAAAGGACTTCCATTGTCCAGAGTCAGAGCAAGAACATAAAGGTTTTAGTTTACCTAGTTAATTCCTTAGGTTTGGACTTTATAGGAGACATGGGGGTCGCAATTTAGCTGAGAAATTTATCAGAAACTCTTTCATCATTTTCTGTCCCCTCCTGTCTTAGGCTGAGTTCTGATGTGTTACCTGCTTCTGCTACTGATCCAAACTGCAGAACTTCTCACTCATCCCCAAGGCCTCCAGGCAGTATCCAATGGGAAATCAGCTCTAAAAGGAACCAGACGAACGTTTTCCACCCCCTTCATTCTGGTGACTGAGGGGAGGAAAGAATGGGAGGGGGTATACTTGTCTAGTTGATAGAAAGAAAAAACACAGTCAAATTACTATATCTACTTGGTTTTCCATTGGTAGAATTTTGCAGCCACATTTTTATTGTGTATGTATGGGGGAAGTTTTGGAGATGGTGACCTTGATTTGAAGTGTCTGGAGGGGGATAAACGGAGGGGATAAGAGTCAGTTGGTTTTGGAAACTGTTGAAGTCTTAATGTGTCCATCTGAAGAATTTTTTTCTAAAACCAGAGTTTACAGAAATATCACTGATACAGCCTGCCCCCTCATTTCCCTGCCACAGGCGATGTCTTGGACTAGAGACACTTGTTTAACAATAGCTTGTCTCTGATATTCCCAGTAGCTACCTCTGTGTGAGGAAAGGATAGAAATGTTCAGGACATCATCATACAGGCTCCTCATCTACAAAGTTCCAGTAGCAGTGACGCCTACAAGGAAGACTTGGAACTGCAAACAGAGGCTGGGGTCACCTCAGTGACATCTCCTGACGCTGTCCAACCAGAAGTTCGATTTTTGTTCTGGGGGTGAAGAAGGAAACAGACTGTACTAAAGGACTAAAATAATTTCTTGTCTATACTATCTCACTTGTTTTTATTTTTGGCGGGAGAGGAGGGGTGTTGGGATAGAATTTCACATCCTATCTTGGAGTGAAGGGGAGGATGGGGAGGCTCAGCCCTTCACCCAAGAATAACCCAGTAATGACATCTCTACGCGTGGGAAGTGTTTCCCTCCACGCTGGGAGGATCCGAGGCTGCACCCCAGTGGGATTCCCTGCTTGAGTTGGAAGGCCATCTCGCCCTGAGATGCATATCATAGCGAGAGCGAGGAGAGCTTAGCCGGCCGGGGAGGATATGCCAGAGGGAAGAGACACTCGAAGTCGAAGGGGCTTCCCCCAATTTGGAGGTGGGGACCATGCTGTGCAGGAGCGACTGAACAACCGGGTGTCCGCCGTGGCCTCTGCCCTCCGCTGAGGGTCTAACAAGGACGCGACGCTGCTGGACTCTGTGTCTGAGTCACGGGAGACGGCCCAGCTGTGCCCAGCGGGCCCGCGCCAGACCCTGGCGTCCTCCATCTTCTCTCCTGAGCTCCCCCTGCTCCAGCTGCCTGAGCCACGGACCGCAGCACCACACACCCCCGCGGGGGGGGACGCCGCGCCCCATCCCCGCCCCGGGCCCCACCCCGGCCCCCCCGCGGGGGCCCTGACCCCACCGCCGGCGGGCACTGGCTGAGCTCCGAGGCGGCGAGCCGGCAGCGGGGACGCCCAGAGGGGGTCCGGGCGATTGGGGGCGGCGGCGGCCGGGCCGGGGCTCCCCCCCCGCCCGCGCTCGCCGCCGCGGTGGTGCGTCCCGGAGGTTACCGGAAGTGGCCGCGCTCGGCGCTGCCATGTTGAGGAGCCGCCGCTGCCGCTGCCGCCGCCGCCGCCGCCGCTTTGTTGTCGCCTCCTCCGGCTGAGGAGGCTCCCCTAGCGGGGGGAGTGGGGAGGAGGGGGGTCGGCCGCCGCAGCCATGGAGGCCAACTGGACCGCGTTCCTGTTCCAGGTACTGGGGGCCCCCCCGGGGGGGCACGGGGGGGACAGGGGGGCCGGGCCCCGGGCTGGCGGGCGGGCGGGCGGGCGCTCCTCCCCTCCCTCCCGGCTCCGCTCTCCGGCCCGGCCTTAATCCCCCTTTGTTTTTCCGCCCGCCCGCCCGCCCCGGCGGAGCGGGGCTGCTGAGGTGAAAGGAGGCGGCCTCACGGGGTGCGGGGGAGAGAGCAGGCCTCGGGGTGAACCCGGGGGCCCCCCAGCACACACACGCACACACACACTCACACACACCCTTCCCTCCCGCCCTGAAGGGGAAGGGAGGAGGCCGGTCGCTGTCACCACCTCGCGGCCCAGAGAAAGGAGGGCGCTGGGCCGCTGGATAGCGCGGGCTGCTGGGCCACTGCGTGCTGGCCCGGTCCCGCACTGTGGGGTGAGGAGGTCCCCTGGTCCTGCTCTGATCTTCTCCCCCCCACACTTCATCCATCTTTCGCTTGCTCTCTTTTTACCTCTCTCTCCTCTTTGTGTGTCCGTGTGTGTGTGTGTGTGTGTGCGTGCGCGTGTGTTGACTTTCTGACCCCCCTCCCGTGTCCCCGCGAATAGCGGGTATCCCTGGTTCCCCGCCACTCCCCCTCACCGCCACCACCCACCTCGTGTTTACCCAGTTGTGGGGGAGGATGTTGTGAGTGTGTATCCCCTCCCCAAACTTTTTCACTGGATTTACATTTTTTCTTTCCCAAGCCTCAGCCGAGCCTTGGCAGCTGACACCTTCTCCCTCTGTCCAGCTCTCCCGCCGTCCCATTCAGCCCGGGGAATCCCCCAGCAGGGCCGGCCCGGGGCGGGGGGAGCGGTGGGGGCCGGGACTCCTGGAGGCCCGACCTTCTCCCAAAGTGCTTTTCTTTCTCGGCCCACCTCATACATTTCCTCCAACCAAGTGGAGAGAGCAAACAAAGTCCGCTTACAAAGCCCCCAGATGAGTCACTCTCTGGGATGTTGGTCTTCGCTTTTTTGCAAGAAACTTAGAAGTGACTGTAGCCGATCTGTTTTGGCAATTCTCTTGCCCGCCCACTTTAGACGGGGGACCCCTCTTTGGCAGATCTAGGCTGGAGCTTTTTTTTTTTTTTTCTACTTCGTTTCTATTTGCAAACGAAGCATTTAGTGGGCAGTAGCTATGAGCTCACGGGGAAACTTCGGCACCGGGGGAGGTTAAGAAGCTCCTCACTTTTAAGTGCGTTCTTCCCGCCTCTCTGATGAGTTATTTTCCTTCTTCGAATGCTTCGTGAAATCCCAAACGCGTAGCTGGGGCGCTTGATACCTTTTGGAACAGGAACGGATGCAGAATTTTCAAAAATTATCCTCCCTGCCACTGGATTCATTCCAGTAGAGTTAATACGAGGAATTGGATAACTCAGAAATTACTTACTCTATAGACTGGCCTGTTGTTTTAAGACATTTTTTTCAAATCTGGGCAATTTGATCTTTAAGTAGTTATTAAAAATGCATTGGAAAAGAGATGCATGCATCCAGGTTGGTTTAAAGGTGGCAAATACCTTCCTCAGAAAAAAGCTCAAATGGTCGTTTTAAAATATGGGTCGTTTTTAAAATTGATGGGCCGCTGAAGTGATTTTCATGTGATTAAAAACCATATTAAACATGGTGTCTATAGAGGTTTAAAAAAAAAGTTCTTCATGTAAAGCAAAAACCCATAGCAACACATCTTTGGAAAGCTGTTGAAAATCATTTGAAATACTTTTTTAAAAGTTATTTTTTCCACTGGATAAAGCAAATGCCAAGCGTTTATTGATCAACTTTTTAATTGGATTTTATATTATTTAATTTTTTTCAGCTATTAAAATCTTTTTTTCCACCTGATGGAGAAGTGTGAAAACAAATATTTGATCCTGGGCTTGGCAATGTGTGCAGTGAAATTTGTTGGAAAACTTAAAATTTAGAGCCGAGAACAGTTGAATGGGTAAAGAGAATATTTCAGTCTTTTCTGTGGAAAGGTATGAATAGACTTAATCAGTTCTGGTTTTACGTAATTTTCACTGGGGATGTGGAGTTAAATTATCTTGTTTGTTTCCTGGAGCATCCTGTTGAATTTATATTTTAAAACAATTTAATACCTGCTTGCTTTCCAGATAACTTGGTGGAAAGTGAAAGCTATAGCTATTAAAATGTTTGATGGATGATTCTTCTAACAGGACATTCAAGATATGACTCACCGATGCTAATTTGTTCAGTACAAAATCTTTTACCCTCTGGCGCTGGAGATTTCATGGTGCCATATCCTACTACCCTGGGTGATGAAATAACATTTCTGTTTTGTTTCTTGCCAGCCCCAGAACGAGGAAAGCTTGGGCAGGGTTAAAAAGCCTTGCAGTTGAAAGAGATGGAAGATAAAATTAAAACTTTTGGTTTGATGATGCTAGTCAAATAAAAGCCTACCCAGAAGTTATATTTTTAAAATAAATCACTTAACTGAAGGCTGGCCGTGGTTGTTATTTTACTCTGTCTCTCCCCCAGAGAACAAGTTGGGAAAACCCAGTACCCCCTTAGAAGGCTTCATGTAGAAGTGTGGGGATCCTAGGAATCCTCAGAGAGTGATTCCTGTAGTGGTTCTACAGAATTTCACCCAAGAAGCAGGGACCTGGTGTGACCCTCGTGTGAGAGTGAGCTTCAGCAATGCTGTAAAAATACTTTATGTTGCCACAGACATCTGAATTGGTAAAATGGCAGTAAGTGCTTTTAGTACTCCATTGTACTAATGGTTGTTTAGAATTGAAAAATGCCTCTAAATGCTCTAAGTCTGAACTTTGTCCAGAAGATCTACATTCCCTATTATCTGATCTGTTAGCTTTTGAAATTGTCTATCTTCAGCTATCTTCAGCTATTAACTATTTGTGTACTGTATGGAAACTTGAGTATTCCTACAGCCAGGTTGGAAAAGGGGGTATGATTAGAGTCCAAATTCTGTAAAGCTTCTACTGAGGTCACCTGGGTAGATAGACCCTTACATTTACAGGAGCTTCACAAATTAGATTAAAAGTGGACTATAATTCGCTAGGAACATTAAGTCCAGAAAGAGACTCATAAGTAACCACACAATTTCTGAGAAAGCTTCCAGGACTCAAAGGGTGATGACATCAAAATTATTAAATTGAAACTGAGAACTCTGGATACCACACCTCCTAATCATTTTGGGGAGACTAGTTCCAGGCTTAACTGTTAGCTGCCATCAAGTAAACATAGAGCAATGTGTGGTAGATGTTCTTATCCATCAGAGGAGGAGCTGTGAGTGAGTGTGTATGTTTTTCCTTGTTTTTTCGTCCTTAATCAAGTTAGCTGTGGGACTTGTGGTTATAGAGTAAGAAGGGTAAATAACTGTTAAAAGTGTCTAAGATGATGGGATGGGCCCCTAGTAGGACATTGCATGCTTAAAATATTTGAAACTCCCACCTCTTGAGTGATGTGTCCTTTTAGGATTACAGAACTCAAGCATAGGGGCTTGGGCTTACTGTCAAGAGTTTCAAAAATAATGTTGGTAAATAAAGAACAACATATTAGGAAGAACTATTTCAGGAATTTTTTTCCATCATTTCCTACATGTTTATCAGTGTGGGGAATTTTGAAAGTGTCAGAACCAAGCAAGTAACTACTCATAAATACCAAGAACCTGATCCATGATTAAATTTTGGTTTCAGTGCAGCTAGAAGAATTTCCAGTGTGCAGCCTCCAGTTTTGGGAGTGGAGAAGCACGTCATAACAGCAAATGTCTAATACTTTATTGAAACCTACAACTTCTGGAAGAAGATAATTATGAAAGGAATTTAAGTGTTTATAGTTTTTTTTTCTCATTAGTCTGTCTTTGAGAGTTTGGGATTTGAACAGCTAGTGTTGCTGAAGGATGCAGACTTTAGTATACAATTAAGGGACCTGAGAAACAACTGGCAGGTGTTTTGCTGTGGGTTACCTTCACAGATACCTTCCAGGTTGCTTAATAGCCGATTTGGTTTCAACCAAATCTTTTAGTAGAGACAAGTGAAAACTTAAATAACAAACAACTAGCAAGTGTATTTAGAGAACTAGATTTCTTTTATCACTTAGCAACAGCCCCTTCCTCAATCTGAGGAAAGACACAATGCTTTTCTTTTGGGTAATAGACAAATAGATGACTATGTCATTGTGTGTCCGTGAGTGTGTATGTGCATGTTGTTGCAGTAAAGTACTATTAAATACTTAAATCTGGAGGTTTTTTTTTTTTTTTTTAGTAAGTTATTTAAACTTGGTTTCAGCACTGACAGGCTAATGCAAACTGATTTCATCAGCTGGTCTGTCCCTCATGAACCAGGAGAGTGTGTGGTTTAGTCAGCTGTTTAAAAACAAGATCACTGTCAGCAACTTAGTTGCAAAAGTTTTGTGTCTGCACAGTGATTTTTCAATGCTTTGTATTGTGAGCTCTGAGAGTAACTAGGTTGCTGGATTTCCACTGCAGAGTAGCTAGTAGGTTCTTTGACTGTTTCTTCTGGTCTCTATTGTCTGGAGCATGTTGGATTTTAAAGACCATTGTGAGAGGTCAAGTTTCTGAAGTGTGAATGTTTGGTTTTAGGCCCATGAAGCTTCCCATCACCAACAGCAGGCAGCACAGAACAGCTTGCTGCCCCTCCTGAGCTCTGCTGTGGAGCCCCCTGATCAGAAACCATTGCTTCCAATACCAATAACTCAGAAACCTCAGGGTGCACCAGAAACATTAAAGGATGCCATTGGGATTAAAAAAGAAAAACCCAAAACTTCATTTGTGTGCACTTACTGCAGTAAAGCTTTCAGGGACAGCTATCACCTGAGGCGCCACGAATCCTGCCATACAGGGATCAAGTTGGTGTCCCGGCCAAAGAAAACTCCCACCACGGTGGTTCCCCTTATCTCCACCATCGCTGGGGACAGCAGCCGAACTTCGTTGGTCTCAACCATTGCAGGCATCTTGTCAACAGTCACTACATCTTCCTCGGGCACCAACCCCAGTAGCAGTGCCAGCACCACAGCTATGCCGGTGACCCAGTCTGTCAAGAAACCCAGTAAGCCTGTCAAGAAGAACCATGCTTGTGAAATGTGTGGGAAGGCCTTCCGAGATGTGTACCATCTCAATCGGCACAAGCTCTCCCATTCAGATGAGAAGCCCTTCGAGTGTCCTATTTGTAATCAGCGCTTCAAGAGGAAGGACCGGATGACTTACCATGTGAGGTCTCATGAAGGAGGCATCACCAAACCCTATACTTGCAGTGTTTGTGGGAAAGGCTTCTCAAGGTACTGCATTTTGCTTTGCTTCATTATGGTATCAGTGAACTTCAGTTTTGTCTTCATGTGATCTAGAATGTTTATGTGAGAACAGATGTGGGCAGACCTGTGTTATTAGTGGAGATTGGTGATATAAAGAAGTATTAAGCCTCCAGATCTAACTCTAGTGTGATTGACAAGTAGTGACATAGTGATTAACCTGTTTTTTTCACTTAACAAGTGCCTTGGTGGACTCAGGCTTTCATTTGGCACAGGGATGCTTATCACTGCAAAACCACCAGTTTCCAGTTCAGTTGAGGGACTAGACATGAAGCCCATTGTGCAAATTAAAATAACATTTCCTGGAAGTT